TATAGAATACTCTTACTTATAAACAAGATGATGGGAGAGCTCACCAAACACATATTCTGTTAATTAAATCCTATAGATCAGTTTTAAATTTTAAAGAATTAGAATACAACAAAATGCCCAACACTGAAACTACCTTAAATTTAATTTTTCTTCCAAGGAACTCAGGATCCCTTTAAATGCTTACATCTCAGAGATATCATTAAGACAATAGTTAACAGCAGCAAAATATGGTGGATATGGAAGGTATAAGAAATAGAGCCATGGCTGTCTCAGAGGGGATGCCGAAAGCAGGGAGAACCTGGAGGCAGAGCATCAGACAGACATAGGTCCCATAGTCCACCCAGGAGGGTGCCACTGGGGGTGAGAATATGCGCAGTAAGTTCTCCCTAGATAAGCTCACTGACTTCAGGTTGACCACCCCAGACAATACCAAGCAAGCCTTGACATCCTGAACATTGTGAGTGCAGCCAGAAGGCAGCAATTTTGAGCATTCAACTAGACAAGAACATGAAGGAAGAGGAGTCAAGTCTTCCAAGAAGGAAAAAAAAGGGCCCTTAACCCCACCCTCCTTTTTGTAGGAAATAAGCTCCACTGAGAATCCAGATCGCTTGAAAGTGAGTGACTGCAACCTTGATGATCCGGGCCCCTTGGATCTGAATGTGATAGTCTTGTGACTGGATTTTCCAGCCCAGAGCTAATCCTTACTCTTGAAGTGAAGGCATGAGTCAGAGGCTTCACGAGACATTAATATCTGGGGCCTCTGGGGAATTGCATCCGCTCTCTGCCCTCAATGCTCTGCTCCAGGGAACTCAATCCAGAGATTTCAATTTCTCCAGTTCTTTGAATAGGATTGCCCCTAATCCCAGAGGACTGTACCCTTGACTGGAATCTTCCCATGGGCAATGGGTTCCTTTGTTTCAGGCAGTGTGCTAAATACCCTACATGGATTATTGAATTTAATGAACACAGTACCCCATGAGATAAGTACTAAGATCTCCATCTTACAGATAAGGCAACAGAGGCAGTGAGAGTCTAGATAACTTCCTGTGCTCACACAGCAAATAAAAGCCAAAGCTGCGATGTGAGCACAGCGATGGAACCCCGGGGCCCTGCTGTTCATCACTTGGTGATCCTATCACTTATAAAACTGGGGTGGCCTTCACTGGTATGATTTTTTATTTTTATTTTTTTAAAATATATTTTTATTGCTTTCAGAGAGGAAGGGAGAGGGAGAGAGAGATAGAAACATCAATGATGAGAGTCATTGATTGGCTGCCTCCTGCATGCCCCCCCAACTAGGGACCCAGGCATGTGCCCTTGATCGGAATTGAACCTGGGACCCTTTAGTCCACAGGCCGACGCTCTATCCACTGATCCAAACCAGCCAGGGCACTGGTATGATTTTTAAAAAAATGTTTTTAACTGATGTGAGAATAAACAAGTAATCTTTTCTGTCAAAGAAGGGAGTTTAGGCAACTGCCATTTTGAAATGGCAAAGGTCAACGCCTCCCTTTTTCCTTTAAATTAGTCAATCAAGTCAGAATGTGAGCCTAAGCTCTGACCAACCAAGAGTGAGGGACAGATGGTGCACATCAGGAATAAAGCCAGAGAGGACCGCCTGCTCGGTGTTGCCAGGCCCTGGGTGCTGCCCACCCTCCTGCAGGAGGAAAGATATTTGCCTTGCTGCCTGGCTCCCGAGTATGTTTTGTGTCCTACTAGGACCCCTTGTTTTGGGGCTCGCCTTATTTCTAACAACTGATATGATTTTTAAAAAACAGTTTAGTGAATATTTCTCAAAGAATCACATGATTAAGTGATTAAGTTTGACACAACCTTTAAATTTGCCACAGATTGGCTCAGAGAACAAGGGGCTCCCAAGAAACACGGTAACAATTCCCTCTGGCCCTGCCCGAGTGGCTCAGTTGGTTGGGTGATGACCTGTGCACCCAAAGGTTATGGGTTTAATTCCTGGTTAGGGTACATGCCCGGGGTTATGGGTTCTATCCTCTACGGGGGTGTGCAGGAGGCAGCTGATTGATGTTTTACTCTCACACAGATGTTTCTCCCTCTCTCCCTCTCCCTTCCTCTTTCACTAAAAATCAATTAAACACACACACACACAAAGAATTCCTTCTGGCTTGGAGATACCACAGGGCCAGATGTGCCTATAATTCTCAGAAAGAAGGGGCCCTCAAGTTCCAGGGAGGTGGACAAATTGCCCCTAGTAGACCCAGCAGAATTTCAAGTACAAAAAGTTCCATAATTGGTTAAGTTTTGGGGTCTGGTCTGGAAAATGGTCATCAAACTTCATAATGTGGCTCTGAATCATAAAATTTCTCTGATAGTTTAATGTGAATTCTTTCAGGTTCAGTTTAAGGCTGTTTCCTCTTAGAAAGTAGCTGATTATCATCTGCTGACTGTTAAGCTCTGAGGTACTTAATATCCATTGGGGGTTTCAGTGCAGCCAAGTCAAACTCAGCTCACATCCTGCAACCTCTGCCCGGGCAGCGACACTACTTCTGGGCATCTGTAACTAGCCCATTAATCGCACTGACCTCATCCTGGCTCAGGGGCGCCGTTCACGACCCCTAGAAAACCCTGCCTTTTATAGGAATCTATAAACTTCCCCGAATAGAACAAACCTTTATTTTGCTTCCGGCAGTAGTTGGGCGCCCTTTCTTGTCAGCTTGCAGATTTTCCGGAAATAAGGACTTTATAAAAGGTCTGGAAAAGGAGAAGAGAATGGATTAGCGATCAGAGGAGGCCGAAAGCATGCTTCCGCGGGGAATGGAGAGGAGCATGTGACTTTGGCTACAGAAAGGCCATCTGACTCAAGGCACAGCCATAAAGATGTGACCCGGGGAAATAAGCAACAGACAAAACACCAAAACCAAAAAGAAGAACAAGAAAGACAGAAAAAAATGCTAAGATATAAGCATTTTGGAGTTCAAACCTGAAAGACAAATCATAAAACTCTGTCTTTTGAGTCCCCCTCCTTACTGGCATCGAGGTGCACCTTGACAATAGGACACACACACTGTGGGTTTGCTGAGTGAGGATGAGACAGACGGACCAGGGCACAGGGACTTGTACACACTGTCTGGATGCAATGCAGGTCTGCTTTGCTCTAAAGCAGGGGTTCTCAACCTTGGCACTATCGATACTTGCGATTCAGGGTCGGATAATTTTTTGTTTGGTCTATTTCACAGCATCAGTGGCCTTTGCTCATTCGATGCCAGCATGTCCTAGACACCTTAGTGCCCCTTCTGTCTGGCACATAGCCTGGTACACAGCAGGTGCTCAATAAATATTCACAGGCTCAGTGAATAAAGTGATTCACGTAAATGAGCCATCGGACACTCAAATTCAATTCCTCCTAAATGGCTCTTTGGCATCTTGAATTTTCTAGAAATCCTATAATCTATTTTTAAACTGATCAGACACAATTATAGATTTTTGTAGGAAATGTGTTTAATAAACAATGGACCATGTCTACCGGATAAGTGTTTACATGGAAGCATTGACAGCTCTCAAACTTGGCAGTAATTGTTAATACTTTAGATAAAACAAAACAACCACAACCCTCTAGAAGCTTGTCTGCTACCTGGCTGTTATAAAACCTACCAACAGGGCTCGTGGCTCCCCTGACCTATTAAGAGATTTTATGTGTTTTCAAATGAAAAGAAATTCAGACTCTCCAAAGTGGGGAGGTGTGAGTGCAAGGAAGTGCAGGCATGTGGAGATGAGGGCCGGGGAGGAGTGGGAGGCTGGGGGAAGGGGAAGAGGGTTAAATGGAGCGGAACACAGCTGGCCAGGGCCCGAAAAGGATACTGGGTTTTGCTTTCACTGTAGTGGGGCCTTCCTTAGGAAAATGTCAGGCTTGCTGCTGTGGGTTAGGGAAGGTAACCTTGATACTATGACAGGTTAAGTAACAGAGCCTAACGGGGCAGCTGTTACTTGGAGGCAGCTCTAAAATTGTAAGTTTGGAAGGCTGTGCGATATTGTACATGTGCAGCCCTGATCATGTAAATTATGTCCCAGATCTGTGACCCAGGACTTTGGGACCCTTCACAGAGGAGAGGGGAGAAAAGGACTCAGCAGGGCTGGTATTGAAAGCTCCAACAGCTTGCAAGGGGGAAGTCTCTACTGCTTCTGACTCTATAGCTTCGATAGAGTCTTGGATGAAAATGTGTCTCTGAGGCAGTCCCTCTTGACTTGTCCCTCTCAGAATTCTGGAGCCATTTCCCAAGACCTTCAGGGACTCAGGTTAACTTGGGTCTTTTTAAGCTATTAAAAATATTGAGTGACCACAAAAAATTCTTGGGATGATGTACCAAGGGCAGAGTATCATAGAACCAGACTATTCCATTCTTAGGTGGTCAGTCATGGCCATCCCAACCCAAGCCCAGGATGGCCACCTCTCCCTGATAATAGTGTTGAAACTGATGAAGCTAGGGGTCCTGAAAGGCATGCAGATTGCGCTTGGAATTCGGGGGTGGGAAGTGTTAGGGATACAAGGGTGGGGCTGAGATTGGATAAAGAAAAGTTATTTTGAGAAACCAAATTGTCCAATGATAACCCAGACCCACCAGCTCAAAGAAATGAAATGCTGACCACTCCACAAGTTTCATATTGAAAATTTGATCAAACCCATATCCCATGTGAGGTAAGCGGAGACACACTTACAGCTCACTGCTCTGCATAAGCTCTATCAGATCCATGAAAAGCACATCACGGTTCCTTTCACAAAAGCCATCCATGTCATAGGATACCTGTTCAAGAATGGAAGGAGGTCCAATTTTATCCTTTCAGTATTTGATTGAAGAAAAAAAAATAGCCAAGTAGCCATGGCTATTCTTACCAGAATGTGTCTAGCTCCAGATTTCATCATGAACCCGTCACACTAAAGCTATGCATATCTTACTTGTTAGCTCCTTAGTTGGTGACGGCCTGTGAATGCTGATGAATGGTGTTTGGCTGCCTATAGGGCCCAGGGATCTAGGTCTCACACACCTTCTTCAATGGATTCATAGGGGTGTCTAAGTAATAAACGTAATTCTTTCCCATAAATTTTAGCTAAGACAGAATAAAATAAAAAACTTCTTATGCTCATTAATCCATTGCAATGGGCCCTGTCATCCAAGGCTTTGCAATTTCTCTAACAAATGGTGTCAGAATTGGATCAATTCAGCCAAAAAAACATGCTCAGGGACTCGGGCTAACAAAAGATTAGTTGGGATGAAAGGTGAGACCAGTGGATTTCCATGGGACTGGGAAGTCCCTAAATATCGGGACCTTGACTTACTTATCTTTGTAGCACTAGCGCCCACAGAAAGCTGGTACCCAGGAGGCACCCAATAAGCATGTATTTTATGAGAACAAACACCAAATGTGAGCGTTTGTCCTTATTTCTCTTCCCAGTGGACATGGGCAGGTAAAGGAATGAAGGTTTGTGAGGGCAGCAAGAAGCAAGACAAAAGTCTATTCCTTCAGCAGTTAATATAGGTACCAGGGTGATTCGTGATTAAAAAGGACACAGTAGTGTATTCTGTCTTTTGTATTACCTCCCCACATACTTCCTAGGTCCCATGTTGTTGAATGAATGAATCCATGTTGAATGAATAAAACACAGTGAGGCAGATGAAACTATATGGACACAGTTTTCAGTTGCCTCAGGAGAAAACAGATGACAGACCCACTGGCTTAAAACAGGTAGACATTGGAAAGGATGACCTCCCCTCTCCTGCTGACCCCGGCTTGCTGGCCATACCTTCCCAGCGTAATGGTGAATAATGAAGCCCTGGTTCCAGCTGTTGAAGTGCTCGTGATTCCCGATCTGCATCTGGAGTTTCTGCAGCAGCGTCTGGTCCGCCCCCTCACCCACCGCGTGCATCGTGGCGCACACGTCATCCAGGATGCTCATGATCCCGGGAGGGTTCTGATGGGACCAAGAATCCAAAGCCCCAATTCAATGATTGTTCCCAAATACATGCAATGCTTATCGGGTCTTTCCTTAAGGAAGGAAACAACAGCTCCCTAGATTCCAGATACCATCTTGAAAGTCATTCTTTCCCTTTGAGCAAGAATACCATTAATAACCCCAAATGGGAGTCATCACTTAGATCTAAGATGGAGGAAAAGCCCATTTTTAAAAAAATGGTTTAACTCCCTGAAATTCTATTCAAAGTTACACACAGATCATTATCTGCACAATCGTATTTGTACTAAGTTGATATAAAAAACCCCAAAGAAAAATTAAAACATTTTCCTTTGACTCTAATTCAGTGGTTCTCAACCTTCCTAATGCCGCGACCCTTTAATACAGTTGCTCATGTTGTGGTGACCCCCAACTATAAAATTATATTTGTTGTTACTTAATAACTGTAATTTTGCTACTGTTATTAATTATAATGTAAATATCTGATATGCAGGATGTATTTTCATTGTTCGCGACCCACAGGTTGAGAACCGCTGCTCTAATTCATTTCTTTTTTTTTAAACATATTTTTTATTTTTAAAAATATATTTCTTTATTGATTTCAGAGAGGAAGGGAGAGGGCTAGAGAGTTATAAACATCGATGAGAGAGAAACATTGATGAGCTACCGCCTGCACACCCCCTACTGGGGATGTGCCCGCAACCAAGGTACATGCCCATGACCAGAATCGAACCTGGGACACTTCAGTCCGCAGGCCGACACTCTATCCACTGAACCAAACTGGTTAGGGCTCTAATTCACTTCTTAATGTTTCAGCCTATTACCCTGATAGGCATGGTTTACACAGTTGTGCAGTGTACACATTTTATCCACACAGCACTATTTAATAAACAATTGTCAAGTTTCATATAGTCTTCATAGTTATTTTTTAATGGCTGTATGTGCTCTGATATGCTGTAATTTACTTAAGGACTGAACTGTCTATGGACTTTTTCACTGTTTCCAGTTTTGAGCTATATAAACAACAAAAACAAAAATGGTACTGTAGTGATCTCTGACTACATCCTTTTTGTTTTCTTTTGAATAATTTCAAGGTCTCAAGTCCTAGAAGTTATATGAATGGTCTAGCAGATGGGCCGATTTTGTGTCTTTTTATGCACTAAGCCATCAACACAAATGATAGAATTAATTCAGTAACAACTCCTGTTTGTAAATTGACATTTTACTCATGTTCACATGTTTGTATTTACAAAAATAAAACCCTATTGCTCTATTTGCTAACATACATATATACACAAAATAAATGTAATTTTAAAAATTCTGTGCAAAGCAGAGTTGTCACCTTGCCTATTCTAAAATAATGACACAGAGGAGAAAAATGCACTTAATGCAAATCTGTGAGCAGTGAGGATACACACCAGACCGATACTTACAACTTTGTTCTCTATGAGGTCACACACGATTTTGTTATTAAAGTACTCTATGGGCGTCCATCTTATTCCCTCTTGAACATACTCTTCCTGTGGGACAGAAAGCGAGAACTCACATGATCACCCAGTGAAGACTGGCTGCACTCCACACATATGGATATCAAAGGCACATAAGTCACCATGAAAGAAAAACTTGAATGCCCTTTGACAACAACTTGGAACTTCAATTTTTTTTCTAAGGAGGTTAGAAAAGCAACATTTTATTGCTTGGTAATGTAATTTTTATTGAGTTTGAACCATATGAAATCATTACCACACAAGCATTTCTGACATTCAAAAAATGGCCATTTAATATGGTGAAACCTACAGGTCTGTTTCACAATAATCTCCGAGTTTAACATAGGACAGCAGCATGGATTAGCATCGAGGCACTTAAGGGGCAGGCCCCTCACTCGGGCCAGGGGCTCACCTAACTGGATGGACACCAGCAAACTCCCTGGTTCTTCTCCTTCCTCCCAGGCTTGCTTTGTTAGCATCTCTCCAGATCTTTATAGGAGGCAGACTCTCAGGGCTCGATTTTCCAGCCGTCTTGCTTTCCTCAACCCTCCTTCTCTAGGTGATTCCAATCAATCTCATGGCTTTAAATAGCACCTATAGGCTAGTGACCTCTGTATTAATTTCTCTAGTCTAGACTTCCCCACTGAGTTTCAGACTCATATGTATTTGATTTTGGAATCTGCACTTGGATGTACAACAGGCCTCTCAAATGTAACTTGTTCAGCAGAGTTCTGCCTCTACATTCCCCCTATCTCCAACCAACTGCTCCCCTAACCATATCCTTCAGTAAATGGTCTCACCATTGGCCCTGTTATTCAAGCTACAAAGGCAGGAATCATCCTTAATTCCTCTTTCCTTCTTGGCTTATTGCTAATTATTTTGAGTAATCATGGTGACTCAGTCTCTAACATGTACACTAACTCTGACCACCTCTCACCGTCACCACCCCTACTAATAAACCATGGTCTAAGCTCCCGCCCTGTCTTGCACAGTCTCCTGCATCGTCTCCTAATTGGTTTCTAAACTTCTATTCCTGTTTTCTTTTCCTGTCTCACTCCACTCTGTAAGTCTGTAAAGCTAGACTGGTGACCTTTTCAAAAACACAGAACACAAATCAGACCATGTCCCTTTTCTGCTCAAAATGCTGCAATGATTTCCTACCCTACTTGCTATAAAACCTGAACTTTCTGTCATGCCCTACAAAGTTCCTATATGATCTAAATGCTGCCCACTTTTTCCTGTCTCAGCCCACCCCACGCATTCCCTAGCTGGCCTGAGGTGGTGGAAGGCGAGACCTCCAGGCCAGAGGTTTATGTGAACGCCTCTGCTCACTGGGGCTCCTAAGCATGAACGCTCCATGACTAAACATCCCCAAACAGCCTTTCATATGTCGAGTGGGTTGAACATGTCCCCTAAAATCTCAAAATGTGAGGTTTGGAAATAGGATCTTTGTAGATACAATTAGATTCATTCAAGAGACATCATCTTGGATTTAGGGGTGACCCCTAATCCAACCACCTGTGCCTTTACAGGGGAAAGGAGAGACACTTGGACACACACTGGAAAAGGCCGTGTGAAGACCGAGGCAGAGCCTGAAGCCGTGTTGCCACCAAACAAGGACAGAGCCACCAGAAGTTGGAGAGCCAAGGAAGGATTCCCCCCAGAACCTCTGAAAGGGGTGATGCTCTGGTGACACTTTGATACTGGCCTCTGAGAGGAGAAATCTCTGTTGTTTTAAGCCACCTGGTTTGTGGTACTTTGTTACTGACACTGTAGAATCGAAACACAATGCGGAATCCAGAATACAGGGACCTGCGCTGGCCTTTCAGAACAAACAATAAGCAAGACATGTTTCTTCAAGCCAGAATGAAAACATCAGCTTTTGTTAAAGACACATTAATTTCTAGGGAGAATTGGGAGTAAAGCAACTCTGAGAAAGCCAGGCTTTTCCTTGGTCACACAGGAGATGCCATAGACAAAGGGGTTGGAACGAGGTCTCCATTTTGCACTTGGTCAGTGAGTCAGAGAGCAGTAGAAGCAGCCAGTCCCAAGTCCAACTTCACAGCATCCTTTGCTCAAAGGAAGAAGAAAACGTAGCAGACGGTGTTTCTGTTTCACAGACAGAACGGTCCCAGTGGCATGCGGTTTGTCTGCCTGACACTGTTAAGGATATTTCCTAAGACAAGACTCAAACCTGAAGCTGTTATCCAAAGAGAAGTCTACACCCTTGAAAAGAAAACAAATTAGAAGGAGAACACGATGAAGGAAGAGGGAATGCTTACCTGTTCGGCCTTTAATGTCAGTTCAATAAAAATCTGCTGTAATTTTTCATTAACAAAATTGATACAGAACTGTTCAAAGCCATTTTTCTGAAAAAGAAAAAGTTACTTTCATCAATCATTTCTGCAAAATCATTTCGAAGACATTTCTTGAGTGATCTAGTGAGATGCTTCCATGTGACAAGCCTTAGCAGAAATGCTGGAGGCATCAGGAGAAGGCTGCATAGCTTAGATTTAGGAGAAACTAGTTTGGTGATGGTGCCCAAAGAACTCACAAAGGCAAAAATTGGGCCATAGTAGAGTGTTCTTTTTTTCACTGCCTAGAATTAATCATTTCTTCAAGCCAGAGGAAATGCATCACCCTCCTCAGTCTGCAATGACTTAAACTGGTCCTACCTGGAATATTTCAAAGCCGTAGATGTCCAGGACGCCGATGTTGTATTCTTCATGGTCCTTCTCCATCGCTTTGTTGATAGACTAGGAGAAAGTAAGCAGCATGGCAATTAACTCCTTTTCCTGCACATGCAGGGGGGGGGGGGGGG